ATTACAATATAATGTTCTGTAATAACTTGATTTATTATAGTTTAAAACAAATTAAAAATGTTTAAATATATTATACAGATTACGAAAAATGTAAATAAACCTATTGTTTTCGAATTTTAGCATTTTGTTACAACCATCATTCTATAAAATATTCAATACAAATATCTGTTATGATTTCGTTGACAGGTCTAGATGACATGAAATCTAAAACCACCGATTGTATGTCTGATGTCCCATGTCCATCAAACTGTTCCTGCGACGGTACAGTTGTCGATTGTTCGGGAAGATCGTTAACTGAAATACCAAAAGACATACCAATTTACACCACTGAATTGTAAGCAAATAATAGTTCGTTAAAATATTAATTTGACTTTAACAATCATTATTTTTTTATTCCACAAACAAAGGCTCATGAATGACAACGAAATCGGAAAAATCAAGTCTGACGGTTTGTTCGGCCGGTTGCCTCATTTACAAAAACTAGAAATGAAAAGAAACATCATTAGTAGCGTCGAAGCAAACGCTTTTGAAGGTGCCATCAAATTATATGAACTGTAAGATAGTCATTCGTTATAATATTATAAGTCTTTTTTTTTTTCAAGTCATTATAATGTTATTGTTTTTATAGAAATTTATCCGAAAACAAAATTCGACAAGTGCACAACAAAATGTTCATTGGTCTTCACAATCTGAAAATTTTGTAAGTTGAAAACGGAAAAAAATAAAATAAAATGTGTGTTTGTGTGTTTTATTCTGTTTGTTTATTTTTGTCTTAGAACTTTGTTGAACAACGAGATTACATGCGTCATGCCTGGATCTTTCGATTATCTGCCAGCCCTCCGCACCCTGTAAGCTTTAACCGACTTTGTTTGTATTTTGATTCCAATTATGAACGCATTATGTGCACGTGTTTTCAGAAACTTGCAAATGAACCCTTTCAATTGCAATTGTCATCTGGCTTGGTTTGCCGAATGGCTGAAAAAACACGGACTAATTGCCGGAAGTCCACGATGCGCCGGGCCCGCTCGAGTGATGGACGTCCCTATTCACGATTTACCTTCATACGAATTCAAATGCTCCGGTAATTATTATGAAATGCGTATTCATTGAGCGAATAAAGTGTTGGTTGGAGGTAAAAAATCGCTGTGCCCGCCTACAGTAGTTGGTTTTCGAATTTACGTCTAAGCGAATGGTTATAACCATTAGTGCGTCGTGGCGTGCGCTGCTGCCTACCCTGTTCACCAGTAATTTGTCGAAGTCGGGCTCAGCAAATTGACCGTGAAATCGTTTTCACAAATCTGAAAGACCGCCATACACAGCGTGCGCTTTCTTCCAGAAACTTGGATTTAAAAAAGACAAATAATTCATTAACTTTACGACGACCGTTATTTAATTTCAGGTGACAACGATCAGGGTTGTCTCGGTGACAACTATTGTCCTCCAAAGTGCACGTGCATTGGAACCGTAGTCCGCTGTACGAGGGCGAAGCTGGTCGAGATACCAAAAAATATTCCCGTTGAGACATCGGAGTTGTAAGAACTACTTTTTGAGTTGACCATAATACGCATACCTATCGACGGATGATTTATAATATTGTACCATTTTTATTTTCAGGTATTTGGACGTAAACGAAATTACTTCGATTAAAGTGGACAGGCTCAATCATCTTAAATCGCTAACTAGAATGTAAGTAAAACTTTGAGCTAAATACTCATCACGTAATAACCATTAATATTATCATTATTATTATTTAGGGATTTAAGTAATAACCATTTAATAGTTTTATCAAACAACACGTTTTCACAACTATCAAAACTATCCACTCTGTAAGTAGCAAAAAATAATAATTTTTTCAAAGTTAATGTTTATAGTATATTATAACGTTTGTATCAATACTTTCAGACTGTTAGGATACAACAAATTGCAATGTCTGGAAAAAAATTCACTAGCTGGTCTTAAATCGTTGAGAATCATGTGAGTATTAACTTCAAAATCTTGCAAATAAATATATTTATTTTAAATCAATTTTTTTTCAGTTCGTTACATGGAAATAATATCTCATTGATACCAGATGGAACATTTTCCGGGCTCGACTCGATTACTCATTTGTAAGTACAACATTTTTATTATCGAACCTCTGTATTAACTTCCTACATAATATTATAATAAGTTTTATGGTTGTGTGTGTTGATAGCCCAGGCTGTGAATTTAATGCACTAGGAAATTGCTAAATAACTATACCTACTATCCACTACAAAATGTCAAATTAGACATTAATATAATACCCATTAGAAATGACAAAATTAGCAAAATGCCAAAATCTAATCATAACATTTATTTATATCGAATATTGATGAAAGCATTTAAAACAATATACATTAAATATTGGTACAAATAATAATAAAAATACATCTTTTATTAACAAACAACATTACTGTGGTCCGTACGGCTTGTAATTTCTTATAAATCCTCCGATGCAAAAGACGTATAATAAAATTAAAATAGTCTAAAAATCGACGCAATTTACGAACACCGGTAAAATATTACCCGCGAAACAGAATTTCATACATCATATACTCAATATACAATATAATATTGCAGTAAAATAAAACGCATTTTTATCGAACTTAATCTCTTGTGTAGAGAGTAGTAAAAAAACATGCGAATGGATTAAAAAACTAGCATGCGGTGATGAATGTTTTTGTAATTTTGCAGAGGTATCGGCTCCAACCCGCTGTACTGCGATTGCGGTCTACAGTGGTTGGCGGAATGGATAAAAAAAGATTTCATCGAGTCAGGTATAGCCAGGTGTGCTGAACCCAATTCCATGAAGGACAAACTTCTACTGTCCACGCCGGTTTCGAGTTTCGTTTGCAAAGGTCGGTACAACGAGCTCGTTAATTTGCGTGCGTCCGCCATTGCTATAATAAAATGAGCTTGTCGTTTTCACAGAACCTATCGGCAAGGACATCCTGTCCAAGTGCAACACGTGCTTCACCAACCCCTGTTCGAACGAAGGCTTCTGCGAGCCATTGCCCGAAAGACAGTACAAGTGCAGGTGCAACCCCGGATATCACGGTAAACATTGCGAAAACATGATTGACGCGTGTTACGGCAATCCGTGCAGGAACTCGGGAACTTGCAAACTGCTCGAAGAAGGCAGATTCAGGTAAATGCTAACGTGACTTTAGTAATATGTACCTTTTGGCCACGACATAATGGTGTATAGAAGTATTAGCGTTTTTTTCTCTAAATATTCCTGCAGAACGATTGAACATAGACGCAATTCTAACAAATTTTTTTTTTCGTTTTTTATTTTTTGTTGTTAAACTTTGATTTTTAAATGATTTTTTTTTTATCAACGCTTCAATACTGAAAAAAATTGTTTGAGTAATTAACGAGCATCATTTGTATTCAACGTTCGAGAATATTTGTCTATAAATCTACATTTCCCAAAAAGAAAACTTCGAAAAGAATTAATAGATACTTTTAATGTACGTACTATCAAGTCCGCAAGTGTCAACTAATGAGTCTACACTGTACGCTATTAAAATAATCACACTGTATATATATATATATATGTATGTATAATAGTATACAAAATCTAAATTATTGACGGTATTCTTCTTTAGTTGCCAATGCGCACCTGGTTTTACCGGAGACCGATGCGAAACGAATATCGACGACTGTTTGACCAACAAATGCGAAAACAATTCTACTTGCGTTGACCTAATTCAAGCGTACGAGTGTCGTTGCCTACCCGGATACACGGGTAAGAGTAATTTTTAAATTTCATTTTTTCTAAACCTGTAGGAATTTAAACCTCCGTGTGTGCTTACTTACTGTTTAATATTATATTACGCCGCAGGTGATTATTGTCAAACAAAAATACAGTTCTGTTCCAAAGACTTCAACCCGTGTCACAACGGAGCCAAATGCGTTGATCACATTACGCATTACGCTTGCGAATGTCCACTCGGGTTTTCGGGCGACAACTGCACAGTAAACAACGACGACTGCCAAAACCACATGTGCCAGGTGAGACGAGACGATATCATTATTTTTACTGTTATTAATTTTTCTTTTCGACACAATAATAATTGAGTTACGATTTTATTTTCTCTACCTCAGAACGGCGGCCTGTGCGTGGACGGCATCAACGACTATACGTGCAAATGTGTCGGAGAATATACCGGCAAGTTCTGCGACATTTCTCCAAGTGTAGCGCTCATGTACCCGCAGACTTCGCCCTGTCAACACCACGAATGCAAAAATGGAATATGTTATCAACCGAACGGTTCAACGAACGACTACTTATGTAAATGTGCCCCAGGGTACTCAGGTACTTATCCGCTCTTGTTCATTGATTTATTGTTTGCAAATAGCACGGCACATTATCCCACATCCTTTTATTCGCAGGCAAACGGTGTGAATATCTGACCAGCTTGAGTTTTGTACATAACACTTCGTTCGTGGAATTAGAGCCTTTGAGGACCAAACCCGAAGCCAACGTGACTGTTGTGTTTACGACAACTCAAGAAAATGGAATTTTGTTGTACGACGGCCATTCCGAACACTTGGCCGTTGAATTATTCAACGGACGTATTAGAGTCAGTTACGACGTGGGGAATTATCCCGTTTCGACCATGTACAGGTCAGTGTTTCACTCGCAATTCTCTGTTTTCGGCTTATTTAACACCATGTATGCTTTTAGTTTTGAAATGGTCGCGGACGGCAAACAGCACATGGTCGAACTGTTGTCGATTAGAAAAAATTTCACACTGAGAGTTGACGGAGGCGTGGCCAGATCGATAATCAACGAGGGATCTAGAGATTACTTGAGACTCACCTCACCGTTGTACATAGGTGGCACACCCCCAGATCCCGGTGCTGAAGCCTTTAATCATTTTCATTTAAGAAATTTGACCAGTTTCAACGGTGAGTAATTTTCAGATACGATTCGGCAGGGTAGTGTAACAGTAATGACGTGGATTTACAGTATCATCACGGTAAAATATGTTCATTCTAGGTTGTATGAAAGAGCTTTGGGTGAACCACAAACTAGTGGACTTTATGAACGCGGCACGTCAACAAAAAGTGACGCCCGGATGTTCCCTGCTCCAGGACGAAGAACAAATGGTGGAAGAAGAAGGAGTGAAGTCGACGAGTGTCGCTGAGCAAGAACAGAGCTCGACCATGGTGGACGAGGAGCAGATTGAACCACAAGAAGGTCCAATGGAAGAAGACGAGGACGAAGAGGACGACGAAGATGAGGACGAAGATGAAGACCCTTGCTACAATAACCAATGCCATAAGGGCAGCAAGTGTGAGCCCAAAGGGATGAAAGAATACATTTGCAAGTGCCAACCCGGTTGGTCGGGCAAATACTGTACGCAAGGTAAGTGCCGTAACCTCAA